CACTGAAAATTGAGGCATCGAGCCTTTTAGCCAGGCATTCAATAGGGCATCTCAAGTTTCAAAATTTTCACTGGTCGTTTCACACTTGGACGCTGTTCGTATTTTTCATTTACTAGCTTCGAGTGATCGAATCGAACAAAGGGTTTTGGCCTCTGAGCTTCAGTAACGAACAGCGGCTCGTGCTCTATTCAGGCAGAGGCCCAAGAGAAATTGAACCAAACAGACAGTTCTAAACCCATCCACTCCGTATCTTTATAATCACAACGAGTATGTTACACGTTCGAGATGATAACAAGATATTCTAATAACCTTTATAAGAATAAAATGCTATCAAATCTAGGTAGTCCCGACGTTATGTCCAAGACTACCAGTGTATGGGTTTTGTACGAAAACCCCCTCGTATCTCGATAATCCTTATTTATGGATTAATAAGATACTAGGCCGAGTCTTCCTGTATACAGTTGTTGGCATTCTTTATAAAAGTTAATGTCAAACTACTTACAAGGTAAAAGACTCTGGGTTCTCAAGAACACACTCGAGAGATTCCAAAGATGGTGATTCAGATCAACCAATCTCTGGTTGAGGTTTTATACACCCACTCTCAAGTCTGGAAGCCTGAGCCTGTAAAATCAAAACCCCAAACCTTCTAGGCTTGTGAATTCGCTCATAAACTTTCATAATATTCTCATTTCAAAGTGTGTCTGTTAAGCTCGTTTAACAAATTGTTGGCTTTTGACAAGTCTAATTCCGAATAGTCTTTAATATAAAGTTTATACGAATCTGACTTCCACCTCCCAATGTCACATATATCCTTAATTGGTACTCCTAATGTACATCTCAATGAAGCCCCACCCACTCTGAAAGAGTGTCCTGATAAACCTGAGAAGCCTCCTTCTCTCCATGATTTCTGGCAGATTGACGTTATCATTGCTTTAGATAGTAAATTCCTTGTACCGTTCTCCAGGTAGCTAAATAGTGGGTCTCCGTCTTTAAAAGTCTGTGCAATTCTTCTTCTTACAGCTGCAATTGGGCATAGTATGTGATTTAGCTTCTTCAGTTGTAAGATTTGAATCTCCCCCGCCTTGGCTGTTTTTGCGCCTCTAAGGTAAATAAAGCATTCCTCAACTGTGTTGCTAAAAAATTCTACATCTCTTCTTTTGATTACTTCTGTTATTTCATTCTTGTCCGAAGTCATCTCACCCATCCACGCTAGACTCCAAAACGCGCATATTGCTGTATCTAATACCACCAATTCTTTAGGTCCTCCTTTAGATAGTTCTATTGCTAGATGTAATAAATGTTCTAGGTGGACTGGCTTTTTCTCTTCGGTCTTTGGTGATTCTACGTCTAACTTCTTGGACGCTGTCAACATTAATTTAATTGTCTCCTCTTCTACGTTTGGAAATTTCTGATTGTGATATCGGTGCCACGCTCTTAAACCGTAAAGGTATTTCCCAAGAGTAACTGACATGATATCTTCTATTGTTGGGCCGTCTTGGTTCCGACCCGCCCATACGCAGAAGTCGTATATATTATCTTCCGATGCCGGTAGGAGAAAATTTGAACCGTCTTCCTTCCTTATAAATTTCAAGAACTTCTTGACTGCACCGTTGTAACTGACAATCGTGTTCCATTTCCAACCGTTAAGTACATGTCGTTGGCGTTTATTGTAAGACCTTATACCGTTGCCTCTACTTAGAAAGATTTTTATCTGATTAAGTTCCTTTTCACTTCTTGTCATATCTTTTAGAATTTGATGGTAGAGTCACGCGTATGAACGTGTACCTGGGTAAATGACGAAAACTTGGTAGGTACTTTTTGTAAAAAGGTTGTCTCTTTTAGAAACATCTCTTGGTGTCATAAGCCATCTCTCTACTTACAGGGGTAGGACAAATTGCGGCAAGTTTCAGGTTCATTTATAGACGAAATGTGGCAAGTTCCTGAGGTTCACTTATGTTTGTGCCACCTTGTTACATCTTTCTCAATTGAGTTATCACGTCTCAGTGATTCCTTTTAGTATCTTTTTCTGCCAATAGCCTCTTGCAATCTCATTTCTATTTCAAGTTCCCTTGTCCGAATACAAAACATGCCGGAAGATGAAAGACAAAACATGGGGTCATAATACAAGCACTTCTAGGTAATCCGAGCATTTTACTTTTGATAACAGTAAGACAAGAGTTAAAACGTAAACGAAGTAGTAATTTACTTTAGGCTCTTATTTTTGAACAAACCTGGAAATTGACGACGTAGAATTGGGTCATCTGATCCATCATCAATCTTGTCGTTTTGTGTAAAACAATTTATCAAGTCAGCTGGTATAGAGGTTACGACTCTATCTTTTTCGAGTTTGTTATGATCTTCTTTACCTTCCCCTCTTGAGATCCCGTCTGCGTCATTTTTCTTGGAGACCACTCTCTTAGCGACCAGATCTATTTGGAAGTCAATCAGAAGTTTTTGAATTTTCTTCCATTTGGAGTTCACTTCTATATCTCTTGATTTTCTGTTCATAACAGCGTTTTCACTTGTAGTGTTGTCTGTCCAGACAATTAATGATTTTCCTTCTAAACTTCTTGTAGAGAGAATATGCCATAACCCAATTTGGATGGCCACTGTTTCAAGCCATGCTATGCCCCTCTTTGTTTCTCCTGACGTTTCCCATCCAGGTATGAGTTTCAGCTGGAACCATTCCTTACCTATAAGAACTCCGACTCCATAGGTCGGCGAGGTGTCTCCTACCCAGCCCATATCGATTGGCTCGGAGAATGGTATGAGTCTCGTTTTCTGGAAAATTGAAAGGATCCATCTCCACTCTTCCAAATCTTTCCTAGCATCTTCTGGTAATAGGCGAGTTGCGAACCTATGAACCCAGCTCTTCATCCAGTGGTAGAGGGATGTCAGACAGCACTTAAGTTGAGGAAGGATCAGGGAGACGTGTGTGAGACGTCCTACCAGGACTTCTACTTCATTGAAAGAGAATCTTTTCATTTCGGATAGAGCTTCGTCGATCTGCAGTCTGCGTTGTTCTAATTTGTGTTCGGGAAGTCTAACTGTCTTGTTGATTCCATTCCAGATAAACCCAATGAACTTTTGTTCGTCCTTAAAGTCTGAGATCTTATCTTCATTTGTTATTACTCCGAGTTGAATGCTTCTTTTTACTACATCTTCCATTACTAAAGCCAAATCCAGTGTTTTGATGAAAAGGGCGTCATCGACCCATCTGAATATCTCCATTAGTTGAAATTCATGCTTCATGATCAATTTCCAACCATCTGCTGCTTGTCCAAAAGAACCACATCCCCCTACTCCACCAAAACCTATCCTGGTGTTGTAATAGATGCGTCCATCAGGGCCTAAGATCATCATGTATTGTCTTTGGTAAAGCATCGTTGGGATCTGGCGATAAGCCTTTTCCCAGTCAAAGATGGCACATAGAAAGGGAACCGTAATTCTTCTAAAAAATCGGGAGACCTTTGCGAAGTCGTCCCATGTAGTAGTGAAGTCGTCTGCGTTTTCAAATGAGTTGACGGATGTGATATCTTGATTGTTTCGCGGAAACGATAAGTCATTGATTGGACGGATGGAACCATAGCCATTCACAACAGCACCCATAGGATTAGTCCGGAAAAAACCACACCTGTTGTGGACTTCTTCATGTGTGAAAGGGCCAAAGACTCTTCCGAGAGCAATTTCCTTCTCCATGCTCTTCCTGATCTTCTCTTCTGCTAGCTCCGCAGACGAATGGTTTGGCGGGGTGTACCACTTGCTATTGACAAAAAAGTGATGAGGGATGCCTTGGTCAAAACCGTTGGTAAAACCTTCAATGACATCCTTATACTCATCTAGGATGCCTGCCGAGTGAAGAGCTTTTTCCCACTCTGGTATGTTCATTTCGCAGGTTACTGATGTTGGCCATAAATCTTCTGATAACCACCTTATCTTTTTGCTTTGAGATGATGAACGGGATTCGATTTCACTCATTGTCATTACCAAAGAATTATCTGAGTCTCCACTTGAGTATTGTGGCTCTGTGCTCTTGTCTTCAAACAACCTGGAGGGGTGTGGTATTTCAAAAAACAAAAGAAGATGCAAATGTCCAACAAAATGAATAAAAAAGCAGAAACAAAGGAATGAGTATCATGTCTTTTTTGTATTCAACAAGGTCTTTTTACATCTGGTGGGTTTCTACAGAGTAGATGATAGAGGGAAAAAATATCAAGACCTAAAAAAGGAGTTTTAGGCCGAGAGAACAAAGGACGTATTGTTTATGGAATCTAAACCTACATTTTCTTTTCTCTTTCTTTTCCTTTTCCTCTGTATCCTTCTGACTTACTTCCGTCTGGTCTTTTGTAGTTAGGATTAAAATTCTTTCCTTTGTAGTTACCGTAAGGACTTTGACTTTTTCCTTGTGATCTCTTGTAGTTTGATTGTGAAGGACCTGCTACAGAGCTAGCTTGAGGCCCCGGTGGGTTTGTATTGATGTCGGAATATGGGTTCCTTCCAGCTTTCAGACCACCTCTTCTGTACGGGTTGTCGTCCAGATTGAGGTCACCCTGTGCTCTTGCTGAACAATAGATCTCTTCGACGAGTCCGACTGGTTCTATAGAGGGATTTGGGACACTATCATTAGGGTTCCTGATCGCGAAGGTTGCTTTCCGTATAGTCAGATCATAGCGGAAGGCTACGACTGTCAACAAGCGTGTCTAATTAGACGCGTAGAGGACAATAGTAGCTAGATTAAATTGCTTAGTCCAATTTACTAATGATAAGAATAGAACTATAGGTCTTTGTGGGATAAGTTTAAAGCACATATGGTTAATACAAACCAAAGGGTTTAAGATGATATTTTAAAGGCTGCAGTAGTAAGAAGGACGCGATTATAACTTGCAAAGAACGCAATAGATCTTATTAGTTGATTTAATTAAGTAAAAAGAGAATGAAGAATCTGAAAATCAAGAGAAACAACACAGGTTTTATACCCTTCCAAGCTATAACGCACACATAGATTATTCACACATATGAAATGAACCGCGGTTTTCCGCTTCTGATGACATAAACAATATCCAATGATCCATTACCTGAGCCCGTCGCTCCTTTCGCCAAAGTATTATCCCATATCTTCTTAGGTAATCCTTCCATTCATCAGCTTCCATTCTCAGACCATCTGACTAATAGTTCCCACGTATTAGTCGGATTGGTTTTGGATGTACTAAGAATTGAAATGGGTTCCCAATCCATTCAAGACTCGAGAACTGAGAATATTAGCTTCTTTCAGGAGGTCAAGAACTAATCAGATAATTCAAATTACTTCGCACAAGTAACAGAATAACTTAATAAGGTCTTTGTTTGGTGAAAGAAGGAAATAGAGAGAAAAGTAGAATTTGAAATAGATTTTAAGATAGAAAGATATTTAAGAAATAAAGTGTAATTGAAATGTATCTTTGAATTCCTCCTCTTGACACCTTTAACTTGTTAGTTAGGTGATAGATTGCTTGTGCAACTTATGCCCTGGCTGACAACGACCCAAGAGCGTTGGTCTTTAAAAATCTTGATAACTTTCCTTCGATGAATTTCCAAATCATTTGCGAATGTGTTGTATTTGTAGACCTTTCTACAAGTTTCAACAAGATTATCAAAGTTTTCTCCCCATTTGAAACACGACTGAGACCATTCACCTGGGAACGGGTGACCCCGATATCTTTCAATTTCTTTATCGGATTTCTTGTAGTCTGTGTGATTATCTGACGCAGCTTGCTGCCAGTCTTTATTGAAGATGGTTAATGGTAAGGAGCCTTGTAACAACTGCATATTTTTATGGAAGAATAACGGTAGGCCGAATGAATTTGCATCTGGTGCTTTTCCTGAGTTGAACTTTAAACCTCCTTCTGACACAATCACTCTTGGGGGGATGACAATTGTATGGTCACTAAAATCGGGCATTGGGGTGTCTTCGCTGAAGGTTAAGTCGATGATTTGTTTGGATTTCTTTTCTAATTCTTTGAGTTCCGCTAACCTGGTTTGTAGCTCATGAAGTTTCTTTTTCCTTTGTTCTTCATTCATTTGAGCTGAGATCTTGTGTATCTTTGGTAAGACAGTGGTTGCGCCAAAGAACTCGCAGTATTCCTTGTCCATACATATGATCACGTCTCTCATAGCATCTTTGTTGGGTAAGGAAGCTGTTTCCCATGTATGGGGGGGGATTTTTAGGAATCGTATCAGTGAGAGCTTCTGCACCAAAAATTCTTGTTCATTGTGAATTGTTATTGGCAGCTTACAATTGCTTTCCAGAACTTCTCTGTTTGTTTTCTTCTTTGATGCATCTTTGTCGTTTGCATTTGTGTCCTCAGGTACTGATGGGCAAATTCAGTTTGTCAATATGGAACCGGTAATGAATTTCTTATCACTAAGTGATGACTTTGTAAGATAGAGGGTTGCTTACTGTCGTCTTTTTCTTTGTTCTTGTTCTTTGACGCTTCCGCCATTTGATCCTTTGGTGCTTTTGGATCTTTGTCTAAATTTTTTAGAAAAGTTTTCAAGAACAAGATATGTTTGTATTGTTAGCGTGATGGTTTGAATTTACTAGGTGGGAAAGCAAAACGTTGCTTACCTTGGCCTCAATTGAGGTAACTAGAAATCAAACTTTGCTTGTTGTACTTCGTCCCTGATGATTCTGTGTTGTCATTCAGGGTAGGATCTCCATTGGCTTTTGATGCATCACTGGGTGCATTGTTGGCCGTTTGATCAAGGTATTTGTTTCCATTGTTTCCTTCTGTTTGAGAGTTCGCGGATGTCTCTGCCGATGGCGTCAGCTTGCTGATTCGAGCAGTGGCTGCTGAGATAGCGTCAGT